TCCTCATTTCTTCCATTTGCTTTAGCATCTCTACGCTGGAGAGCAAGTTTCAGAGTCTCTTCTGACATCCATTTTGACCTTTTGTAATTGTAAGTATATCTGACATAATTTCTTTTACTGATATATACTTCCCCCCCCTATAAACTTCATCTGACCTTCTGAAGTTCATTCTAAATTTTTTATCTCAATTTTATTCAGTCTGGAATCCACCAGCTCCCCCCTCCCAACTTTTTCCTTTACAAACACTGATGATTGTTGTTATTAGACCCTCAAGTTAGTTCTGACTCATATCTACCCTATGCACAAGTGAACAAAACAGTGCCCAGTTCTGTGCATCTTTACAATTGTTAGGTTTGAGTCTACTGTTGCTGCCACTGTGTCAGTCCATCTCATTGGGGATCTATCTCTTTTTTGCTGACCTTCCATTTTTCCTATAATGTCCTTCACCAGGTACTGGTCCCTCCTAAAAAAATGTCCAAAGTAAGAGAGATGAAGTCTCACCATACTCGATTCTTAAGAGCATTCTGGCTGTACTTCTTCCAAGACAGGCTTGTTTGTTCTTCTAGTCCGTGATACTGTCAAGATTCTTCTCCCAAACCGTATTTCAAATGCATCAGTTCTTCTATGGCCTTCCTTATTCATTTTCCATGTTTCACATGCATATAAGGAGACTGAAAATACCATGGCTTGGGTCAGGTGCACCTTGGTCCTCAAAGTTACATTTTTGTCCTTTAACATTTTAAAGAGTACTTTCACAGCAAATTTGCCTAATGTAGTAGGTCGTTTTATTTCTTGACTGCTGCTTTCATGAGCATTGATTTTGTATTCAAGCAAAATGAAGTCTTTGACAACTTTAAGATTTTCTCGATTCATCATGATGTTATTTATTGGACCAGCTGTGAGGATTATCTTTTTTTTTTTTTTACACTGAGTTGCATTCCATACTGAAGGTTGTAGTCTTTGATCTTCATCAGTAAGTATTTCAAGTCTTCTTTACTTACAGCAAAGTAAGATTGTGTCATCTCCATATGTTTTTAAGTGTTGTCCAGTTGGTTCCAACTCAAAGCGACCTTGTATAGGGTTTCCAAAGAGCTGGTTCGTAGTCCAGTGCTGATCTTATAGAACCACATCAGGAGTTCAAGTTGTTAATGAGTCTTCCTCTAATGCCATGTTCTTCTTCATATACTCCATTTTCTCTTATTTTTTGCCCAGGTTGAATAAATATTGTGAAAGGACACTACCCTGGCACAAACCTTACCTGATTTTAAACTATCAAGTACCCTTTGTTCCTTTCTAATGACTGCATTTTGTTTTATGTACAGGTTCCTCATGAGCAAAATGAATTGTTCTTGAATATCCATTCTTCACAATGGTATTCATAGTTTGTTAAAGTTGATCACTTTTGCATAGTCAGTAAAGCACAAGTCAACATCTTTCTGATGTTCTTTGCTTTCAGCAAAGACAGACTTAACATCAGCAATGATATTCCTCGTTCTGCCAGCTCCCTGTTAGTGCACTGCCGCAACCATTTGCGAATTATTTTTAGCCAAATTTTACTTGCATGTGTTATTGATGATACTATTTGATGATGATTCCCACATCCTGTTGGGTAACTTTTCTTTGGAATGGGCACAAATACAAGCCTCTTCCAATCAGTGGATACGGTAGCTGTTTTCCAGATTTCTTGGCATAGATGAATGAGGACCTCCAGCACTGCATCAGTTTGTTGAAACACTTTGATTTGTATTCTGTCAGTTCCTGGAGTTTCATTTTTCACCAATGCCTTCAGTGCAGCTTGGACTTCTTTGTTCAATATCATTGGTTCTTGATCATGTGATACCTTTTGAAATGAGTGGACATTGACCAACTCTTTTGGTTCACTGACTGTGTATTCTTTCCATCTTCTTCTTTTTAATTTTTATTGTCTTCCATCTTTTTTTTCTTTTAAAATGTTTCCTGTTTCATTCAGTACTTCCCCCTCAAATCCTTCAATATTGAGACCTGATGCTTGACTTTTTTCTTCAATTCTTACAGCTTGAGAAATGCTGAGCATCTTCCTTTTGTTTTTTCAACTTCAGGTCTTCACACATTTCATTATAACACTTGACTTTGTCTTCTCTAGCTGCCCCTTAAAAATTCCTGTCCAGCTGTTTTACTCCACCATTTTTTCCAGTTGCTTCAGATTCCCTACTTTTAAGAGCAAGTTTTAGAGTCTCTTCTAACATCCACTTTGGTCTTTTCATTCTTTCCTATCTTTTAATAAACTGTTGCTTTCTTCATGTATGATATTCTTGATGTCCAACACAACTCTTCAGGTCTTTGGTCATTAGTGTCTAATGCATCACATCTGTTCTTGAAATGATCTCTAAATTCAAGTGCGATATGTTTAAGGTCGCATTTTGGCTCTTGTGGACTTGTCTTAATATTCTTAAGTTTCAGCTCGAACTTGCATATGATTGTTCCACAGTCAACTCTGCCTTGTTTTGGCTGATGATATTTAGCTTCTTTATTGTGTCTTCCCACAAATGTACTCAATTTAATTGTTGTGTATTCCATCTGGTGAAGTTCACATGTATAGAGTCACCTTTTATGTTGTTGATAAAAGGTATTTGCAATGAGTAGTCATTAGTCTTGCAAAAATTGTATCATGTGATCTCTAACATCATTTGTATTACTAAGGCCATATTTTCCAATTACTATTTGTTTCCAACTTCCACATTCTAATCACCAGTAATCATGTATCTTAATTGCATATTTAATCAATTTCAGAGTGAAGAAGTTGGTAGAATTTTTCAGTTTCCTCATCACTGGCTTTCGTGGTTGGTGCATAAATTTGAATAACAGTGGTTATTGATTGGTCTTCCTGGTAGGCATATGCTTATTGTCCTATCACAGATGCTCTTTATGACAACAAATGAGACACCATTCCTCTTCAGTTTGTTATTCCTGGCCTAAAAAAATCATATGATTATCTAAATCAAAATGACCAATACCTGATCATTTCACTTCATTAATGTGTTCCATGCCATGTTGGATGCCTTCTAATTTCCCTAGATTCATACTTTGTACATTCCAGGTTCTGATTATTAATGGATGTTTACAGCTATTTCTTCTCATTTTGTGCTGTGTCCCATTAGCAAATGAAGGTCCCCAAATATTTAGTACATCTACGTCATTAATGTCAACTCTACTTTGAGGAGCTAGCTCTTCCCCAGTTGTATTTTGATTGCCTTCCAACCTGAGGGTCTCATCTTGTAACACCGTCTCATACAATGTTCTGCTGCTATTTATAAAGTGTTCAATGGCTAACCATCCAGAATTGGTCCACCTCTCCTGCTTTCTAGTCTATCTTAGTCTAGAAGTTCTACTGAAACCTGTCCACCATGGGTAACCCTGGTGGGTTTTAGAAAACAACAACAACACACCAATAGCATAGCTTCAAGCATCATAGCGACACATAGGCCACCAAAGTAAGTCAAATGGACAGACTGCAAGTTGTCAGGAACCTCCAGAATATACTCTATTACCCAGTATAGGAGGAGACATCAAAAAGTTTATGGAAAAATGCAATGAAAAGATAATGGAATTTTCCTATGACTTTTTTGAAAAGTATAAGATTGCAGGTCCTATACTAGCTCATCTCTTCAGACTACCCTGACTTTGCATTTCCTTGTATACTTGTCCCTTTCTTTTATTCAAGTCTATCTTCATTCTGTCTCCTCTGTGGTGTTGTTGCTGATAAGTGTCACAGAATTGATTCCGACTCATAGCGACCTTGTATAGAGTTTCTGAGGAGTGGCTGGTGAGTTTGAACCACTGGCCTTGTGATTCAAACCGACCTTATGGTCAAGTATTTATCCTACAGAGCTATATCAGGACTCCTCTGTAGTGGGGCACAGTGTCTAGGACCCATAATATTATAGGGGCTCACAAAAATGTTTTCATTTTAATTTTTTCAAACTAAAAGAAAAATGATGCAATAATAATTTTATTAGTCTTTATAACAACACAGTTATAAAATACAATTTTTAGTATTATTTTTATGGTGGGTGGAGTCCACAAAGGCAAAAGTGTCCACAAAATTTAAAAAAATTTAGGTACCTCTCATCCAAATAGTTGCTACTTTGTCTCTCCCCCAACTCCTTGTTCTTAGAAATGACACATAAAAGGAAGGTAGTAAAAATTTTAAAACAAAGGGAAATGAAGACTAAAATGTTACAAATATTTAATAGTATCTTTTATATAGCTTTGTTGGCTAGATTGGTAAAAAGAGCATGAAGCTAAGCCTCTATTATTTTGTTTTTATTATAAAGTACAGAACAGACACTAAATATTAATAATAAAAATATGCTTTTGGAATCTAAGCTCATTGATGAATTATATATTTCTGTGCTTGGAGTGTAACATGCCAATTATTGTGTATACCAGATAGACGTAGACAAACATTCACAATTTGAAGAAGACATCTATAAATTCAGATATTTGCTGCATATATTCAGTCAGAAGCATCTTTGACACAAAAAGGACCTTAGGACTACTGATATTCTGTACATGTAAAGTATGTACCAAGTCTCTTAGGATCATGCTAGAATACTGTTACAGAGTGACATTTAGAGAAGGTATGTTCTGGGATCCCAATCAATGAAACGCACTTATTAAAATGTCAAAAGAACTACGAAGAGTTCTTTGGATGAACTATAAAAACAATATTCTACCATTACAGTATGTTCCCCCAAACCATATTTTCTCACGGCTGCATTTTATTGTTTTGATAAAAAGCACATTTTATGGGATATGACATTGAGCTGGATCTAACACTATTTCACCTACCGGATTTTGTGATATCTATTACTCTTGTTCTTTCTTTCTCTCAATTCTCAGAAGATCTGGAAGGATATGTGAATGCTTGGCAATCAGGGAGAAAGGGGGCTATTTAAGTTCTGAACAGAAGTTAATATTGATTCTTAATTAATGGATGACCTTCACTGGTCCTTGTTGCTAATCGTCAGAGTTGTAGTCATTCTGTATAATGATCTCATTATTTACCTATTATTTCAGGGTCATGGATGCAATTCCAACCTTTCAGTACATTTCAATTAACACTAATTGAGTGCCTGCGGGTGCATGACTCTCTTCTAGATGCCGTGAGGAAAATTGTCAATTGATTTTCTCTTAACAGGTGCTGAAATCAAATAGCTCCTGCTGGGTACTGCGAGTGGTTAGTGTATTTACCAGAAGACAATTGTATTGCCAACTCTCAACTTGATTTACTTCACACACTTGAGTGTCGAAAGTTATTGCTGTCTATAAGCTGATAGGCGTTGATGGTAGAATTGGGTCTTGTAAAGAGATCTGATTTACTTGATTATATTTTACACAGCAGTTATGCCCCTAACAAAAATGCCTTAGGTCTCCCTATTAATAATTTTGAGAGCAGATTCCTTCATCTTCTTTAAAACACAGAGACTCCCTCCCCTGGCCCCACAGGTTTTTAATCTGGTGGATTAAGAACAAAACAAAACAAAACAAAAAAACCTTCTCCTTAAATAACTGCCATTAACTAACTATGATTTCCTCTCAAAGGAACTAACCAAGCAACCACGCAACCAAGTAACCAACCTACCAACCAACCAACCAACCTGCCATTAACTAACTATGATTTCCTCTCAAAGGAACTAACCAAGCAACCACGCAACCAAGTAACCAACCTACCAACCAACCAACCAACC